AACCCCGAGCCACACTCTTTTTTTTTTTTTTTTGGGGGGGGGGGGGGCGGGAGGCACAAACCCCCTATGTGATAGCACATTGGAGATGACAGGTCTATAAGTGGGCCGCCTTTCCACTTCAAATGAGCTGTTCAAGCATACATGGCTTGAATAGCTTTAGCCAGGGAATGTAAACGCAGCAGGCAGTGGGTGTGTGCAATAGCCAGCCTGCTATTGGCTATTGCAATTTGAAATAGCCAATAGCAGCCTGGCTATTGCACCCGCCCATTGCCTGCTGTCAATCAGCAGAGGAGGGACCTAAAGGAGAAAGTTCTATTTTATCGATTAGTTGTTGCAGCCCTACTCCTCAGTACAGCGCCACACTCTTCAAAGGCAATTTTATCTTTTAGAGAGCCATAGTTCCTGTTCCACCTCAAAAATACTTTTAGGGTTCCTATTTCAACCTGTTTATCATCCCCATTCTGGACTTCAAGGCCTTTAATGCCTTTGTTTGGCTCTGGAAATTGCACAAAAAGATTTGTTGAGCTGTCCCTGGACCACTGAGAATTTTACAATTTCTGAGAAAAAGTGGCCAAGGGGGTTTTGTCTTCCAAAATGTAGGTAACAGGCTTACCTAGGGTCTCCAGCTAGTTCCTCTAGCAAGGCAGGGGGGTATGCTGGCTCTACTTCCTCCTTCAGAGCCCGGCGAGGGCCAGGACCAGATTGGCGTCGCTCCTTGGCTGAGTCGCGAGGAGAGGATGTCCGCCGGTCAGGGGCTTGTCTTGTCTCCGGGAAGTTCTCCACGGCTCGACCGGGTGACCGTGTACGTCACTTCCGGCGCGAGTGACGTCACTTCCCGGGTGCCGAAGCTATGCGTTCCAAGCCTCGTTTTCGGCGCAGAGGGAGGCCCTTGGCTGGTGATATCTAGGTCACTTCTCAGTAGTGACTGAGAAAGCGCTGGCAGTTTGTTTGAGCACACTCCACGAGGATAGACTGCTTTGCCTCTGCAGTCCTCTACAGCAGCAGATTCAGGTCCTTCAGGCACCAGCCCGGCACATGTATAGGTGATTTCTTTATGCATTCACCACCCTGGTTCCTCTGACATTTTCCTTTCTCCACCTGGGGTTCCTTGGGGCAGGACCTTTTGGTGTTGAGGGGCACTTCTATTTTCTGATTATTGGGATTAGAGCTTAGCCCTTCTTGTTATTTATTTTTGTATTTCAGGCTAAAACTTCAGATAAGGCCAAGGTTGCAATTAAAAAGAAATGTGCGGTTTGTGCTTGCAAGCTAAGTTCTAATTATGCAAAGGCCATATGTCGGAAGTGTATTGACGACCTCTTTAAGGAAGAGTCCTCGTCAGCCTGTAATAATCTTTTAACAACAGTTAAAGAGGAGCTGGCTTCTACTTTTCACTCCTTCACATCAGTTTTAGAGGGCTTTAAACCTAACCCCGGTGCCGCATCAACCCCTGATGGTACAGGGGCTGCCCGGGCATGTCCCAGGGCATCTGTTGGGTTATCTGAACAAGAGGACCTTAGTGAACCAGGCCCCTCTCATGGTTACTCTTCTTCGGAGGATTTAAGCACCCAAGAGGAGGTGTCTCCAACCTCTAGATATAAATTGTCCTTAGAGGATGTGGATGATTTGCTCGCTGCCATTTATAGTACTCTGGAGATCCATGAGGAACAGGTTCAACCTTCCCGACATGACGCTTCCTCTCAGACGCAGTAGTCAGGGAATGGGCAGAGCCTGAGAAAAAGCCTCTCAGGTCCACTAATCTCAAACGGAGGTTCCCGTTTGACGATGACCTGGCTTTGGTGTGGAACAAGACACCAAAGCTGGATGCTCCGTTGGCAAAGGTTTCCAAAAGGTCAGATTTGGCCTTTGAGGACATGGGTGTTCTTAAAGAGCCAATGGATAAAAAGGTGGACGTTTTGCTTAAGACTCTATCCTCTTGAACCTTAAACCGGCCTTGGCCACAACTTGCCT